CAGCCTTTCTGCTGTATACAACAGTAAAAGTGACAACTCTCCGCTATGTGTAACCTCAAGAACCTAACTGTTGTACTCACTTGCCCTCCTTTAATTTAATTTGGTGGAGATCAATTTGAGGTGTCTAACAAGGTCTTTGGCCCAACCGATGTGCTGCATTTTCATTAGGCGTAAGCCTATGAAGTGAGAAAATAGGGCAGGATCCCCAGTTGCTGTTTTAGTGAAGAATGTTTGACAGAAGTGGAAAGCAGAAGTGACAAAGAGGATTAGTCCGGGAAGAAATAGCAGAAATTCACACATAAAGGGAAAAAAGGAAAAACGGAAGAGCAAAGACTTTTGCTTTTCTTCTCCCTAAAGCTTCTTTGCTGATTAATCCTGCTTTAAAGCTGACACCTTAAACAAAAGTCTGAAATCAGGACAGCTTCTGTAAGAATATTAAAATAGCACAATAATATACCATAAAATTGTAAAAACTATTTAAATACCTGTAGGTACAATTAAAGCAAGTTCTGATACTAAATTGAAGTACTCTGATGTACTTAAAAGACGTATATCTATGAGCAGGAGCTATTTAAATATGCATTGTTGTGTTTCTTCCTGAGCACACTACAGAACAACAGTGTGTGGCTGTACGCCTTAATCAGTCTAAATGTCAGCATTATTACACAGGATTAGTTTTTATACACTATTGCAAAGTATGCCAAATGGATTGACTCAAGCAATTCATATATTTTAACAGATAGTGTTTAAATACAAATGTAGAACTTATTTATTTAAGTATGCTGATGGCCTATAATACTTCATTTGGAAGTTCATTTCTTTAAACAAATTGTACTCATGTACTATTTAGCAATCTTATTGGCAAGTCTAATATAAAGCACAGTAAAGTGGGTTTTGATAATCTTAATAAATATCTTTCAGTACAATATACAACGTGTGAGAAATAAAAAAAAACGATCAAATTCATTTGAATTGCAGCAAAGTTCACTTTTTTTTTTCTTTTTGCTGCGTTTGTCGCCGTCCTCATGCAGGAGCTGGAGCACCAGAAGGGAATCCTGTCCAACGACCTCCAGGAATCAAAGAACAACTGGATCAGTAAGGCCTTCACCTCCCTGCGGACCTCCAGCGGTGGGCTTCACGGTATTAGCATACCCAAAGACGGGGCTGCTTCAGGGGGTTGGAGCCTCCACGGCGCCTCCCTCTCTGGATGGAGCGCCAAGAAGCTGTCGTGGCCTCACAGAGACAATCGAGAAAAAGTCTGACAGCTCGGACTGTGAGTGCGCACATAAAACTGGACACTATTGAAGTGGGAGCTGAACTTGAGCCACATTGTTATGTACAGACTGGATTTAATCATGCAGTTTCTCAATGTGGACACTAGATGGCAGCACAGAGAACGAAACTAGCAGAGGAGAGTACCTGAGAGCACAAACAGGTGATGTCAAACAGGGACTTTCAAGCCTGTTTACCAAATACACAACCACTGTATTTACTGCTGTATTATTTTGTATAGTTGTGAACCTAATCCATGTGCGACGTGAGTCCCCTGATGGCGACTCTTTCATTTGTAAGAAAATTAAAAGTGATATCAAGAGCAGGTCTGACGCGAACTTTTTGTGTGACGTAAGGAAACCTAATGTCATAATGCAGAAAGGTTTTTTCTTCAGAGGTTTTCCTGTGATACATCACAACTGTGGCTGTTCCTCTTTCATTTTGACAAGTGGGACCTTTAAAGCGGCGCTCGGCTGCCGCTCAGACACACAGACAAGAGTCGGGCTTAGAACGCAGTTTGTTATCTCTGAACTTTGACGCTGAAAAAAGGAGGAGACGGTAATAGAGAGAAACAGCACAAAGGAGCAGCAGACTTTATCCTGCAGTAGTGACGGCTGACGTCAGCATTTATACAACTATTCAGACACATTAGTACTGGACGGTTCTCCTCCTTCTCTGGGATGTCTGCCAGCGTTTGTGTCACCGTCACGCTCCTCATGAGTGTTGTGGGGAGTCAGGCGCTGGACCTGCTGAGGGTTACTACAACATCAGGGGGTGAGTTCAAACAAGCTCACAGTTTGTTGGTCTGCAACCTGCATGTCAGAATTAACCATTATTTTTGTACTGCATTTAACGTTTGTCTGCTTTGTATGACAGCTATTTAATTTATGTCAGTTTGCTACTAGTGTCCTGTCTTTTTTTTTGTTTTTTGTTTTTTATCCTTCTGCCTCTAGAAATACAATTAATACAATTTTTTATTTTTTTAAATTTTATTGGCACATATAGGGTGCAAAAAGAAGTTTAACATGATTGTTTGTCGCATCTCTGTTTTTAGTTTTGTCTGCCATTATTTTATAATTCCTTGCATATTTTAAATGACAAGAAACATCTATTGCAACAAATGAAATATTTGCAGCAAGGATTTAATCTCAAACATATCTTTCTGCCCAGTAGATGACTAACTGCACTCTCTCCCACCAGATCCTCCCTCCACTCCCACAGTGCATTGCTGGTGTTCAAACTATCCAAACGCGACTTTCTGCACCTGGCCGAAACCTTCCCGCTCCCCTCCAACGCATTACATTGCCACCTACAGGTACATTTAAAAATTCTCTTGTCTGCTGTTGACCCAAAGCCACTGACCCCTTTCAGAAAAGCAGCCTCCATTTACCAAGTGTCACCAAAGAGCTCATTTATATGTATGTAAACGTTTGTTTATCAGTGAGAGGCACGGACAGAACAGCACCGAGCGGTGCCACCTCATCCCACCCGGCTCTTCATCCTCGATTTCAGCCCCGTCATCTGCCTCTGACGACGTAAGACTTTATTTACATTTGCGCCAACAGAGAATCTTCAGCCGTACAGGAATGTCCCAGAAAGTACAGAATCTGATTTTAGCCTAAATGAAACCAAACATGCGGTATTCTTTTACGGTGAGAATGACTGTGTGTTACAGAGTTGAGGTGTCAAACTGTAAAGAACCCAAAAAAAGAACTGCAGTGTAAAGTGGATTTTACTGAGTTTTGGAAAATCCCTTCTTGTGATTTTTGGTCAACTTGTGATAAACCGCAGATTGGCTTCAATTTTGTCAGATGAATTCGAGAGGAACGGCAGCTCAGCAAGAATTATGTGGAATTGGTTACTAATTATACAAATTATATGAGAATTTTGTGGGATTCCCAAGATGTGCTGCATAAACCCCGGTGCTCTCCTTCATAGAGCCACAGTATTGTTTATTGCTTATTTATTTAATTATTTAAAAAAAAAAAAAAAGCAGAGTGAAAAAGTCTGAATTTTTAAATATATTTTAGAAGTATAATAATAATTTTTAAAAATGTAGCTAATAAATATAAAATATTTTCCAAATGGTGACAATAAGACTAGAAAAGATAAAATAAAAATGAAGCCATTAGTCTGCAAAAATCTGCAATTTTTTTTGGAACATTTTTTTTAATATTTTAGAAATGTAATGAAAAAGATGGGAGTAGTAAATATTAAATATTTGCCAAGTGGTGAAAATAAAATATTACAGTCTATGAGAGGTTCCCTGAGACGACTGGCGCGATACATCAATAAAGTTTCCATTCATCCCTGCATATTATTCTCTTTTTCTCCCAGCTCTGGCGCTGCTACCTGCCCAACCTGAAGCTTCTGACAGACTACATCATCAACATCACAGCAGTTCATTCTGAAGGCAGCAGCTCCCATCTAATGATTTTTATGATGGAGGATATAGGTGAGCAATGAAATTATGCACAATCCAATCCACCCACCTGTTGACGTGATGGATAGCGTGCTGTAAAGATCAAACTGTCGTAATCTAAACTTCTGTTCTGTCTCTCATTCTGCAGTGAAGCCAGACCCTCCTGTACAAGTGCGGGTTTCCCCTCATAATGTCAGAAACCTGATGGTGAAGTGGTCTGCTCCCCCTACGTGGACCAGCCTGGACATCTTCCCCTTAAAATACCACATACGGTACCAGTGGAACAACAGGGGCACGCCGATGTCTTCCAATGTGAGTAACAGCAGCGATGTGGTTTAAAAACTTCCCATTTGGCACAAAATGTACAAAGATTTCACACGTGTGGAAGCTCAAATTTACCTACATTTTTTAGGCAACCTTAAAGATATTTTTTTAAATTCCCTCCATCAGTGGAATTCTTCTATTTTCTGTTTTTTGTAATGTACATATATATATATATAGTCTTTGCTGGTGCTACTTTCATTTAAAACATTTAATTATGTAGCTTTTCTGTAAGTATTAAACATTCATTCTCTAACAAATCTGTACGGGTTTAATTTTAATTAATAATTATGATCTAAAAAGTCATCCTTTATCAAGTTATAAGTAAGGACTTTATTAAGGGCTTTAAATATTCATTGTTAGCCCTTTAATAAGAGCAAATTTATGCACCATCACAACATTTGTCCCATCTTTGTAATCTACGTATAAACAGCAGACTTTGTAGCTTATGTCAACATTTATAGCTGCATTAATCCCAAACGGAGGCAACAAACTAGAGGACCAGATGGATTTTCCAACTTGGAAAGCTTAAAGTTGTTCTCATTAATATGAATAATGCCTCCTTTTGTTAGATTTAACAAATGCTGAGAAACTGTGAATTAACAGAAAACGGTGCTGCAGAACTTTCTGCCGCACAGACGCTGATTTGAGAGCAGCTGGCAAATGCTCTATTACATCATCATCATCATCATCATCATCATCATCATCATCATCATCATCATCATCATCATCATCATCATCATCATCATACAAACCTATGGATTTATTTTTAATACGTCATAATTTCTCTCTTCCAGCTGGGTCCACTTGAGGACACCAAGATTGAACTGAAGGGGCTGACCCCCGGGAGGACCTACCTGTTCCAGGTGTGCGCCAGAGAGCTGCTGGGTCTGGGCGAGTGCAGCAACTGGAGTTCACCTGTAGAAATCACGATACCGAGAACAAAACCGTAGGGACTCCCTCTCACTTCCTCTTTTGTTTCCCCATCGCCTGTTAAGCTAGCAGTGAAGGAAGCGGTTTTGTTCTTAGTCGCACAAACAATGCAAAGCAAAAGTTAATGATATTTATTTATGAAGGAGTGAATTGATCTGTACAGTACGCAGCATCAGTTTGAATTAAAATAACTAATTTATTTTGTAATACTGTCGGTTTGTGTTTGTTTATTTAACTTAGAAAAAAATAAATCATGTTCAGGTAACATCATGTGAAAAACTGAATAAAAATGAGGCGTTTGAAATAAATCCACAGTTGTCAGTCAATTACATCCACCACGAGCGGCGTGACGAACTCAGAGTGTCGGACTCCCAGAGTGAAGGATGGCGGTTTGGGGAGGTGCATGTGAAACTTCTCTGGGCTGTAGGTGCCCGGTCCAGGAATGGCAGAGTAATGATTGGGCCTCTTAGTCCGGCTCTGCATGGAGAAGGAGGGTTGGCGCTGGCGGTAAATGTCTGGGTTGGTGCTGTTGTACTTTCCCGGTCCGGGGCTCATGGAGAGATCTTCAGAAGGAGCTCCGACCTTCCTCCGGCCTGAGAAGCTGTAGCTGGCGCTGGAGGGCTTGTGGGGAACCTGACAGCCCAGCAGATTGGGAAGACTGTAGCTGGTAGATTGAAGACAGAAGGGTTTTGAATTAAAGGAACACTTTTAAATGATATAAATGGTGATATTTTCTGTGCTTATCAATATTTTCTAAAGTTCCAGTCCATCGTGGGCTCTCAGTCCCATCCAAGTCCATTCTTTAATGCTTTAAAAACAGACAGATACAGATAATGGACTTGGAAGGACGTTCAAGACGTAGAACTGGGAAGCCAGAGACACCAGTTTGCATCCTGTCCTCTGTGCTTAAGTTTAGGCAATAAAAGCAGTTAGGAAAGGATACAAAAAGTCTGAGGTTGTGGTTTAAACCTGCAGTGCAGAACTTTAGTTTCCTCTCTCTGGCTGTGAGAGTAATTATTCATACGCTGTTGACACATGCTTATGATGTAATCCTCACTGTAGATCGCTTTCAAGACCACAGTCCTTCCTTCAAATTCTGAGTTTCTCTTGTATCTGCAGCATCAGAAACTTTCCTATGTTTCTTGTGTTTGTAGTTACTGTAGTCTACTCCATCGCTGTTGTTTCCCAGTTCAGCTCTGGAAAACCCATGCATTGCTGGTTCCTGGTGAAAATTCATCACTACTGGTGCACCAGTGTGGCAATGAATGACACTGACCTTTGATTTAAAACTGCAAAATACAAAGAGATTTGCTTGGTGCTGATAGATTTAATCAGCACTGTGTGAACTCTATCAAGAGCCTGATTACAACAAAGGTTCATTTATATGTAAAAGTCCTGGAGCTTCAAGGTTAATAAACATGTTGTGACCAAAATGCAACCTGCAGGATAAAAAAATAAATAAATTAAGCCAACATGGAAGTGCAGTTCTTCAGATGGCCACTTGAGGCTGCCTCTGATATTAAGTTAATCCCCATTGAACCCTGTTTTAAATCACCCAACTTTAGAGCAAATATAAACGTGTTTACAGCCTGGTGCGAAAAATGTTTTCATCCTCTACAGCTCAGTTCACTGTTTATGACAAGTGTTCACAAAGTAGATTTCTACATCTCTCACCTGTTTAACTTGTTTGAAGGTTTAAAATGATGCATCATAAAGGCCATGGCTGCTTTGACTGACAGCCTGGTCCACAATGTACACACAGGACAGTTCATGGACCAGAGATGTTTCTGTGACTCCACTTCTTTTATTTTTAGATTAGCGAGGAGGTAGGTACTGCCCAGAGTCAGGTACTCAGTGAACTTTAAAACTGCTGCACAATCATCATCATCATTATTATGGTTGTTATTGCTATCAATGTTATTATTATGATGACTATCATGATTATCATAATCATTATTAGCATTGTCACCATCACAACAGTCACCTGTAAGAACAGCCCCTACCCCTTTTTTTGTACATTTATTTTTATTTATTTTTATTCTTGTTGTTGTAATTATAACTCTTATTGTTGTTATTATTGGCAATAGAATTCTTATTAAAATTAATATCTACAGTAGATTTGTTAATGATTAATGTCATGTTGATGTATTTGCTTTTTTTTTGTCTTTTTTGTTCACACTTCACTCTTTCCCTTCTCTTTTTTGTGTGTGTGTCACTTAAACCCTGTTTTCTCATGTTTGTCTTTCACAATTAAAACAAAAAAACAAAAAAACTGCTGCACAAGAAATCTACGTCTAACATCATGGAAGGTTCGTCCATCTTCATACACTATATTCACTGATAACTTTTTTCTCTTTTAAACGAAGCCACTTCTAAACTTAACCAAGTACAGTGACTGCTAAACGTGCTAAACAAAGAGGTTTGATCATGTGTACAAGTGGATTCTGCTGCTGGGTACTTGGACTGAAAACAAACATGTTCTTCGTGAACATTGAACTCAAAACGGTAGCCTGGAAAACCCGAGCAAACACACATTTGACATGCTGTTAATTTATGGCAGTGGAATGCCGCATGTGGAACCAAATAAATAAAAAAAAGTCCACTGTTCTTCAGTCTGCTGAGGGATTTCACATCACTACTGTGTTTTTAATCACCTGAGAACAATAGAGCTCGATGGCACACAGGAATAGACTTTGGCTAAACACTGCTTCTTAGTTGAACCAATTCACTGCTGGTTTTGGATTCACCAGCCTTGACCTTCAATCTGTTCCCTCTGCTGCGTTCACCTGTTTGGTGCCGGTACAGCATCCACAGAGCGGTATCTGGTTCGGGATCCGATGGTGTAGGACGGAGGTCTGCGCTGAGCGTTGAGAGGTGGAGCCTTCTCCGGGCTGTAGGCGCCTGGTCCAGGAGTCTGGAACAGCTCACCTAAGAAATAAACAGAAACTGGTTTGGAAACATTTATTTTTTCTGTTTATTGTTAAATTGCAAAGAAAAAACACTCAGATTGTGTGACTCTTGTGAAAACACAGCTTGAAAGCATTTTCTAATCCTTTTCTTTTATTTTGAAAAAAAATTGAACCTTTACAGACCCCCTGTGTTGAAGGTTTTTTTTTACTTTAACACGTCCACATGGTGTTTGTTTACATGCTGGAACATTCGCTGAATATTGTACAGTACAGAGTATTTCTGGTTTGTGGTTTGTACACCAGATGTTTCCCTGTATGGCTGAATTACTCAAATATTACAACTTGTCATTGCATTGGTGAAGGTGAGCTGGTGTGCTCAAGCTGCAGTAAGTGAGGGAGGACTTCATAGCTCATTATATATGATCTCCATTATCTATGCACCACTTAATCCTCACTAGGGTCCCGGGGGGACAGGTCACCAGTCTATCACAGGGCTACACTTAGAGACAGACAACCAAGCACACTCACATTCACACCTACGGACAATTTAGAATCACCAATTAACCTCAACATGCCCAAACTCCCGTCTGCTGCTTTCTTCTAACATGAGC